AGCCATAGGTTCCCGACCCCTGTGTTAGATATATGTTAGAAGCATACAGTGGTTTAGTTCACACAATACATTTAGCCATAGTGTAAATTAGTTGATTGTAAGCCATATTTTATCTTCACATTGTGTGAACCAGGCTACTGTTTTTTTCAATGAACAATGGCTAAAGTTTATTATATGAACAGAGACAATGTTTGCTGCCTGAGTTAGAAAAATAATGCTTGTGTGTTTCTCTTGATATTATTCCTAAAGGGGCTGTTCTTTCTCATTTTAATAACATTGCAGAATGTGCAGGTAGAATCTCAGACATTACGTCAGAATAACATTTTGTTGCTTTACAGTTAACATGGCTGCTGTAGAAGACTTAAAATAATTTGAAATGGACTATCCTAAACTACATAATGGTTTAGTGTGATGTGCTAAGCCATTGGTTCAGCAGAAAAGAAATTGTCTTTGTTGTTTACATTAATTTATAACTAAATAACATAAAATCATACTGACTTTATAGGGTTGGGTCTGATGTGATCATATTTAGAGTAAATCTATTGAAATCAATGGAAATTCCACGTAGATAATTTGCACCATTGACTTCACTAAGCTTGCTTTAAGGCATTATTCACTCTGAATCCCTTGCAAATGCTTATCCCAACTTAATTCTTAAAAATTAAGATTATTATACCAAACTCGTTTGTGCAGAATATTTTGACTGCACTTCACAATGGTCTGTATGCCACTGTGAAATGTGCTGTTCATTTACAGAGATGGTGTCGCTTGGCATTTCAAGTGCAGTGCACTTTGTACTGTCAGTGCAAACAGACTTTTGTGTTTCAGGGCACTAATCCTTGAAAACATAAGATTGTACAGTGTGATTAATACATATTAATTGCTTTGAATTAATGTAAATTTAGAAAATGTTTCTTTTATCTAATATTCTCAGTTAAGGGTGTATCAATGTGAGCTTGAAATGGATTATTCTAATATTTTTAGGAGTTTTATCATTCTGTGTTTTGTGTTCAGAACACCCTGTTTTCAGCTCAGAAGAAGTTGGAACAACTTGTTTTAAACTTAAATCAACCTTGGAATGTGAAACATTTGGCATTCAAAATGTTTTGAACACTGTTACTCACTATTTCATTAGTTAAATGTTGGTGTGATATTTATAAATCTGAAATCAAGATTCTTAAGCTTATGTAGCAGAATGTATAGACCTGAGAAGATTTTAGACTTTTATATTTACAATATGTATACTGGGTGTGAATTTAAAAAAATCATATACAGTGGTACCTCGGGTTACGAACGCCTTTGTTAACGAACTTTTCGGGTTACGACCAGCTCCAGCCGCAAAAATTTACCTTGGTTTGCGAACTCCGCCTCGGAGTATGAACAGGATACGCGGCCATTTTCCCTCCTGTGACACAGTCCACGGCCATTTTTCTGCCCCTGACACGTGGTCCGCGGCCATTTTTCCACTCCTGACACATGGTCCGTGGCCATTTTCCGCCCCTGACACGTGGTCGTAGGGAGGGGGACTCTCCCTCCAAGCAATAGCCGCCTCCCTGTCCTCCACGCCAGAATGGATTAACAGTAATTACATTGAATCTTATGAGGAAATTTCCTTCGGGTTGTGACCAATTCAGGGTGCGACCAGAGTCACGGAACGAATTAAGTTCGTAACCCGAGGTACCACTGTACTGTAATCACACAGTAAAAGCCTCAACCCTTTTCTAAGGGACAGATTCCAAAAACCTTCAAGACCAGGAAATGAACAGCCCAGCAGTTGCTTGGAGTACACAGTTGAGAGAATATAATTGCCCTAACTGCAGAGTTGTTAGTGAACACTGAGAAGCTTCCAAGCAATCGGGGGGGGGGGGGGGGGGAGTAATAAGAAAAAAATAAGTTGGATCCAAAGATCTGAGTGGAAGGCCAGAATACAATAGATGCTTTATGTCACTTTCCACTAAGCTGCTCTGGTTAAAAGGTGAAGGCAGAGACTGTTTAGAACTGTGAGATTTGTTCCTTGAAATGGCACAATAGAGAACTTAATTAAGATAACTTAACAATAGAGAGCATAAATCTGAATACATGGAAATTTGCAGAGTTTTCTTCTATTACCTGCTATTGAAACACATACCAGGTTGTTCAAGAGAGTCTTGTCAGCCCCTGAAGAAGTCTTTGGCAAATGAGGAAAGGCAAAGTTGTCTTGCTTAAGCTGCTTTCAACACGTACAACACATTGAACCAAAACCATGTCCTGATATTAAAACTAAATATATTGGGGCATTTTACCTCAGATAAATGTTTTTCTTTCCTATATAGAGTTTATGTTTGAGACCCATTATAAGTAAATCCTGAATAACATTTTAGCCAATAGAAATATTAAATGCATCAGGCTAAATCCATAGCAAGAGTTAATGGGAAACCATTAATATTTACACATGACATATGCACAATTTCAAAACCCTTTTTAAAAAATCATACACGGTGGAACATATTTCCCACTGTCACTTGTGTGCATTATAAAATGACAAATAGAAAAAATGTATAGGTATGCATTTCATATCAGACATGCAGTTGATACACACCATAGTTGCA